TAAGCAATTATAAAAAAATATAAAAAAATATATTCTAGCGGGCATATTTGGCCGCTGGACGGTTTAAGGGATAATAATTGTGAAATAGTAATAATAATAAAAATGTTTGCTCAAGCATTAATTGCAATCAATATTTTAATTTATCGCAATACTTGAGCATCATCACGATCATAAACTAATCACTTCGAGGAAGATACATGACTGTAATCCAATTATACTACCATTCGTCCTATTGAACTTCAACGATGGTCTAATTAAATATTACTATAATGGTAGTGCACTATCACAATTACTATCTAATCACATCGAGTGTGCTGTTTGAGAATACCCTAAAAGAAATACTTAAATTTATTAGCTTTATCAATAAATAAAAATTACAAATTAATTATATTAATTGTATATTACATTTAGTTTCATTGTTTGCATTAAGAATCACCAAAGTTATGCTGAAAAATAACTAAAGTGCTGATTATAATTATACTCAGAAGCAATTCATATTATATCTTGAAGAAAATACCCAATTGGTAAAATAATTTAAAAAATATATACTGGATATATCTCTTGTAAAGATCTTGATATATCAATTAACAGTCAACATTAATTGAAAAATGGTATGTAACATTGGGGTGTCTAATATAAGTGTCATCAAAGGAAAATATACACATTTTTGTGCAACTAATTGATATAACTCCGAATAATATAAAATATATTATATCAATTAGTTGCACAAAAATATATATGCTTTCTCTTGGCGATACTCTCATAGAAAGACATTTATATAATTGGTAGTTTAAATCAAATCAATTTTACATTATTTATACAGTTTAAAGCACTTCTTAAAAAAATAAAACTATGAAGAATAAACAAAAAAGAAGTATATAAAAAGTTTTATTAGGTTGTAGGACTCAACCATTTAAAAATAAACAAATCATTTCTGGCTTTAGAGAAGTTAGCATAATATCGATTTCTTAAAGATAGATAGTACTATGTTAGCTTCTCTAAAGCAAAAAGAGATTTTGATTATTTTTAATAGTGGAGTTCTACAATTATAATAAAACTTCTATATACTTTTTTGTTTATTCTTCATAGGTTTATTTTTTTTAAAAAGTACTTTAAACTGTATAAATAATGTAAAATTAATTTGATTTAAACTGCCAATTATATGAAAGTCTTCCTATGAGTAATACTCATATAACATTATTAGAGGTTTTTTTTTAATTTTTAACAGTTGCACTACCTTGTTTGGTGTATCAAAAGTGCATCAAGAGAGCAGAGGTTTTTTCAATTTTTAACAGCTGTCCTACCTTGTTTAGTGCATCGAAAGTGCATCAGAAGTACATTAAGTGTAACAAGGTTTGCATAAGGAGAGCTTCTCTCTGTGTTATGAATACAAAGTAGAATTTCTAATTATATATTATAATTGAAAATTCTACTTTAGATTTTAATGCAGGGAGAAGCCCTTCTTATATGGACCTGTGTTATATTTGACACACTTTTAATACACTTTAACAAGGTAGAACAGCTATTAAAAATTGAAAAAACCTCTGCTTATTGGAGTAGAGATGTAAAAAGTCCAGTCTGCTCTCAACTCAACTTAAAAGTCAAGTTTTTGTTAAATGCTTAGTTTCAAGCAAACTTGAAACTTTGACTCACAACTGCATATGCATTTAGAACTGTAATATATATTTAAATATAGCATAAAAAATATATATTGCTTCTGAGTATAATTATAATCAGCACTATAGTTATTTTTCAGCATAACTTCAGTGATTTTAATGCAAACAATGAAACTAAATGTAATATACAATTTTTATTTATTGATAAAGCTAATAAATTTAAATATTCCTTTTAGGGTGTTTTTAAGCAGCATGCTCAATGTGATTAGCTAGTGATTGTGATAGTGCACAACCATTATAGTAATATTTAATTGATCATTATTGAAGTTCAATAGAACGAATGGTAGTATAATTAGATTATGCTCATGTATCTTCCTCGAAGTGATAAGTTTATGATCGTGATGATGCTCAAATATTATGATAATTAAAATATTGATTGCAATTGGTGCTTAAGCAAACGTTTTATTATTATTACCATTTCACAATTATTATGTTTGAAATAAAAAAATTGAAAACGAAGAATTAACAAAAAAATATAGTTCCTGTTTCTTCTTTTTCAAACCTTACAAACTTTTATATATTACTGCACAACAAAAATGTCTAACACAACTTATCCAGATTCTACTGCGACAAATAAATCAAATAGAGAATTCAAAGAAATAATCAATTTATAAATAAAATTTTAAGAATATATAAATTTATATGTTTTCTGTAATATATTATTTGTTGGCACTAGTAACGATTTTTAAGATCTACAATAAGTGCTTAAACAATTAATTTTTCTAATTAATCAATGAAAAATTTCAGCTAATAAATACAACCCTATGAAAAAAAAGAATGTCTGGGCCTCTATCTCTTGTTAATTGGAATAATAAATATCTTTAATCAGTTAAACAATCTTCCGCTAATTAAAATTTTCTCACTGACATATTAAACTACCATTACATGTTTTATTCATTGGAATAATAAGTACAATCAATTCGTTAAACTATTTTTTTACTAATTAAAATTTACTTTTGAATCCATTCCGACAGATTGACTTAGGAGCTTGAGAATACTCTTAGTTTTATTTTTTTTAAAATTATTTATTCATTACTAGATGTCATCTTTAAAGCAATAGCCTGTGAACAATTTATTGCATATGTACACTAAAATTTTAACTAAAAAATTAATTTTTTAAATAAAGATTAATACTTTTAAATGCATTTGCTATTTATCTATATAGCAAATTCTATTTTATTATATTATTATTCTATATAAACATTATAGATAATACATATTATCTAAGCTATTTACTAAGTTTCTTCAAATTCTTAGTAGCAAAGTTTTTTACTTCACCATCTATATCTACTCTAACTGTTCTATTATTGCTACACATACTAACAACCATCCTGGTTTCACTACAGGTTTGTTCTAATTTTTGTTTTTATATCTTTTGATTGTTATTATGATCATAAGCAATCACAACCTTATCTTCTAGCTCAAATGTCAATTTTCTTCGATGAACACTTCCACAAATTATCAACTTATTTCAATAAGTTTCATCATTTTGTAAAACCTCCTCATGAACATGCTTTACTTGCATCGCGTGAAACTCATACAAAGCGTCTGCTAGTGTAATGTCTGTGGTATGTCTGCCGGTATGTCTGCTGGTGTAATGTCTGCCAGTGTAATGTCTGCTGATATGTCTGCAAATGCTGATGTGTCTGCTGATATCAGTGTGTCTGCTGATGCTGGTGTGTCTGCTGATGCCAGTGTGTCTGTTGGTGCTGGTGTAATGTCTGCTAGTGCCAGTATAATGCCTGCTGGTGCAGGTGTGATGTCTGCCAGTGTTGGTGTAATGTCTGCTGGTGCCAGTACTAGTATAATATCTGCCAGTATACTGTAGATCGCACACATTTTAAAACCAAAAAATGCTTTGTAAGGCGATTTGTTGTGAGCCCAATAAGATGCCTTATTATAAACAATTACAAATTGGGGGAGAATATCAATCCAACGATAACCCTGAACTCCGGTAACTTCATTCCATAACATTTTCGTTAAATGTTGGCCAAGCGTTTGGTTGAATCTTTCTATTTTTCTTTGGCTTTGCAGATGCCTAACGTGACTATAAACAAGCTTTATCTTAAATACATTGCAGATATTTTTTAAAACACTGATAATGAATTCAGAACTATTGTCAGCTTGAAGTTTACTAGGGGGGCCAAAATTTTTGAAAAAGTTCACCAATTCACTATAAACTGTACTGCCTTCTTTGTCTTTAAAGGGGATTGTCCAAACGTAATATGAAAATATATCTATTAATGTTAGAACATAACTATACCCATTATTTTTCTCAGCGTAAGATAGTAAATGACCAAGTCAACTTGAAGATGTTCTAATAGACCGCCCGAAACAACAAGTGTTAAGTCAGATTTTTCCTTGATACTTCCATTTCGGATGCAAGTTGAGCAGTCATTCATGTATTTCTCAACTTTATCCTGTGTGATGCCAATGTGCTGTTCATATATTATTGTGTATATTTTATGATAGTTAAAGTGAACGTCACTAGCATGAAATTTCTCTAAAAGAGCTTCTTTCAGCTCAATATCATAGGTTGAGACAACTCGCTTTTAATAGGCAGAGAATTTTCACCTTTTGATGATTGCTCAAAAAAGAGATAACCAGTTTGCTTATAATACACAAAGTTTTTGCATCATCTCTGAAAATTTAATTTTTTTAGAGTGCTATTGTATTTTTCTGCAACAACTCCATATTGAAGATAATTAACTATGTCGTTAAAATCGTCGAGTGTATCAGTTATTTTAAAAAGCCTAACCATAGTTACAAAATCTAAGAGCGAACTAAATTGTTAGTTAAAAGGTTAATTAAAAGAAAAACTCAGAAATCAAAATTTTATGCTTATATGACGCAAAAATTGCAGCACAAAAAGCTCAGCCAAGACTAAATGAAAATAAGAATTTGATATCTGAATTATATAAAAAGTCAATAAATAAGGTAAAAAAAAAAAAAAAATTTAAAATTTTTAAATCAAATTTTCTATTTATATAGCATGAAAATTGCAGCACAAGAAGCCTGGCCAAGACTAAATGAAAGTAAAAATCTGATATCAGGATTATATAAAAGTCAAGAAGTAGAAAGTCAATATAAATAAGGTAAAAAAAAAAAAAATTTAAACCTTTTAAATCAAATTTTCTATTTACAGAGTGTGAAACCACAATATAGAAAGAATGACCAAGACTAATTAAAGATAAAATTTTGATATCTTAATTATATAGAAAATTAATAAAAAGAAAAAAATTATTTAGATCACAAACTCTTTTTACTCATATTATATAAAAACTGCAGCATGAAAAGCACAGCTAAGATAGAATAATAATGAAATTTGATAGCTAAATTAAAGTTAATGAACGATTAGAAATTCGATAAACAAGTAGAAAGTCAGTGAATAAAGTGAAAAAATTTATAAATTCTAAAGTCAAATTTTTATACTTATATGGCCTGGTGCGTACAAATCTGGTCTGAATGCGCAGGATCCAGTCCAGTATGTAGGATCCAGTTCAGTACATACAAATCTGGTGTAGTGCGAATTCAAATGCATAATATATGAAACTACAACATGTATGATATAAATTATGACCTCATAGTTTTTTTGATTCTTTTAATTTTGATTTTAATTTCGCATATTTTTTTTTTTTTTAATTTTTAATTTTGATTTGAACTTTATGTATTTTTTTTTAGATTTTTGACTCGACAAGTAGTAACAACTTCAATAATGGCAACAACTTTGGTGAAAAAAAAAACTAAGTATAACATAAAAAAGTAAAAAATATATATTATCAATTATTATGATTTTAAAGCATAATATAAAAAATACACTTACTTGTGGTAATAATATCAAGAGACAATGACTTGCTACTGTTAGAAATAGCACTAACAGGTGAAAGTTAAAAACTTACTATGAATAACACAGCCTTAACAAGTAAGAAGTATGATAGGTAAGAAGCGTGATATCAATAAAAAATATAATTTAATAATAATATAACTTTAACAATAAAATAGTAACAGCATACTAATGATAGCGACAACTGTGATGAGAGTAAGAAATATATAAAACTGACAGATGAGAATTGTGATACATTATCAATGACAATTAGTAAGACTTTAACAGTGAAATAACATACTGGTGGCATGATCTGGTGATTTATTAGTTTCCAAAAGACTTTTATATTTTCTGAACCAATAATTTGCTTTCTGAATATCTCTCTTCGTACCAGTACCATATCGATAACAACGTGCAACATTATTCATTGCTACTTTAGAACCTATATTGGCAGATTTTTTATAATATATGATAACTTTAATAGAAAAAAGATACAACATACAGCTTCGACAGGTAATTAGGCACAAGAGATATACCAACTAACAATCATTTCAATAAGCATAAACTGATGGTAAGTTTAATATAAAAAAGTGTCTTCAATGTATAAGAAGCATACTATTTGATAAAGAACTAACGTAGTGATATAATTATCTAATAGTGAAAGAAATCTTAGAAAATCAAAAGAGAAATTGAAAGATAAGTGTTGTGAAAAATTATTATATAAACTCTATTTTTTTAATATTCTAACGCTAATCTAATTCAAAAACTAACGAATATTACCTTGATGCATTGTTAAAGAGCTTCATAATCCAAATAAGAACATAAATAGGATGAATGATTAAACTGGTAAAATCGAATGAATAAGAACATATTAATACCAAATCAAACACCACATATGAACAACCTCAATATAATCTAAATTCAAATACCATAATGTGAAAGGAATCTTAGAAAATTAAAAGAGAAATTGAAAGATAAGTGTTGTGAAAAATTATTATATAAACTCTATTTTTTTAATATTCTAACGCTACTAATTCAAACCACCGAATATTATCTTGATGCATTGTTGAAGAGCCATATAATCCAAATAAGAACATAAGTGAGATAAATGATTAAACTGGTAAAATCGAATGAATAAGAACATATTAATACCAAAACAAACCACATATGAACGACCTCAATATAACGCTAAATTCAAATACCATAACGCGAAAGAAATCCTAGAAAATCAAAAGAGAAATTGAAAAATAAGTGTTGTAAAAGATTATTATATAAACATCAATTTTTTTAATATTCCAACATTAATCTAATTCAAACCACCGTGATGCATTGTTGAAGAGCTATATAATTCAAATAAGAACATAAGTTCTAAAATGAGATGAACAATTAAATCGGTAAAATCGAATGAATAAGAACATATTAATGCAAATCAAACACCACATATGAACGAACTCAGTATAACACTAAATTTAATACTGTAACCACGAACGACTTCAACATAACGTAAATTCAAATTACCGAACAATGAACAACTTAAAATAAAAGCATGATAAACTGAGATTCAGAAATAATTTCAGTGTTCAAAGCAAGAACCACAACGAACTACCAGCAATTTTAATAAAGAAGAGCGCAAATTCAACTTATGACAAGATCCAGAAAAAAGAAGAGCAATGGCAATTGTAAGCAATGCTAATTTTTAGACTATGATTTAACTTAGTAATTTCATATTACTAATCAAAAATCTTATTTTATTACACAGAAACTTTCTATGCATATCACAGGAAATCTCATAACATGTCATGGCATTCCTGTGACTCTTGCACGTAATATGTCACAAGATTTTCCATATGATTTAGCACAGGGTTTTTTGTGACATGCTACACAGAAAATCTCACACTTGTACATGACATATCACGAGGTTTCCTGTAATATATTACACAGAAAATCCCATGACATGTGTATAATATATTATACAAAAAAAAGGCCCATTTCATTTTAATCTGATTTCATTATGATCTGCCACATTTATTAGTAAAATTTTGAGTAATTTAGCATTTTGCATAATTTTACTAATAAAATTATGCAAAATGCTAAATTACT